TTTTGTGTTGTATAGCGCATTTATCGAGGATGGCTATAGGCTATAAAACATCACGCTACGACCAATAGGAGCTCAGCAGAGCGTGTGAAACAGCGTGAAAGTAGCTAGTCTCTAAATAAAAATGAACCAAGTCGCCTTACCAATAAAGTTCATAATGATTTACCATCAACAAATCATAATAATCACCTTTTGTTTACCTTACGTACCATAAAATACAAGCAATTTTCACCCTTAACACCAACAGGAGAAGACAAAAGGAAGTTCAAATATGCGTACCACTGCGGGGAACTAGAGGAACCAGTCCATTTACACTCCGAGTCCATTCTGAGGAAATCCATTCCAGAATGGGTAGTGTTCCAGGAATTATATGAGACTGGAGCCGATGAGAGACGGAAGATGGTGATGAGGAATGTCACTGCTATAGAACCAGAATGGTTACCTTTGTTGGTCCCTCAGTTATGCAATTTGGGTAAGATATTTATTGGTTTTTGTAATTTTAAATGCTTTTTTTATGGAATAAGCCGGTAAACGAGTACACAGATCACCTGATGGTAAACAATCGGCGTCGCCCATGAACACCCGGAACACCAGAGCCGTTACAAGTGCGTTACCGATGTTTAGGGGAATTAGGATTAGGAATTTGAGGATTGTTGGGGATTTGGGGATTGGGGAGATAAGGGACCTCACTCACATGACTAAACACGACGCAAGCGTTGCTTCACGTCGGTTTCCTGTGAGGCCGTGGCATCACTCCGGTCTGGCCAGCCCATTCGTGCCGAAGCACGGCTCTCCCACACTTAAACCGTGTTAAATGTCTAGTTCCTTAATCGACTCATGGTAACATACCCACAGGAATAGTCAAGGTGGTATTTTGGTTGTCTTTAACTTTTCTTCTTTGTGTTCTAGGTGAACCTCTAGATGATCCTCCGCCAAGATACGATGAGAAGTCAGGAAGAGTGAAGTGCCATTTCAAAGGTACTTTCGGAAAAGCTGGTTGGGAGCTGCCCACTGCTGAAGTTGACTTTCCAGACAAAATAGAAAGATACAGGTAAATGATGTTTAAAAAAATTGATTTCTTTGTACACTTAATAATGGATTTAATTTTCTAAATCCCTGAAAGAACACCAGTGTCTTCTCTTACCCACTCCATTATAGACCTTATTTCCATGGTTTAGAGACTACTTTGTATGAACTAGTTTAACTTAGTTTTAGTAATTTTCTGAATTTGATGTAGAAATATGATGACAATACATACAATCTCATATAATATTAATAAAAAAACGCGCCCAAAGTTGTGTTTTATCTCAAATCTAATAAGGTCGAAAATCGCATACACCGTCTACAATCAAAACCACCCATCATATAAACTAAGCATTGTCAATCCAATTGTATCTTATATCACGAACAATATAAGTCCAAAATACACTACCAAAATTTAAAACCACCCATTTTTTTAAACTATACATACACTATCAAACTAATTGTATCTTATGTCAAAACCAATAAGGTCTAAAGTTGACCGCACTGTCTACACTCATACCACCATTTTTAACTTGACACCTAAATTCCAGATGGTTCGCCCGATTTCTGCTAGAGGGCGCAGTGTTCCCTAAACTAAAGAAGTATACAAGTTCGTTACTATCTCCGCCTTCAACAATGGTGAAAACTTGGGCGAAGTTACAACCCAGAACCGAAGTGCTTCTGAAGGCGTTGATAGCGAAGCGGGCGGGTACTCGAGACGCTTTGCGAAGCATTTGGGAGGAAAACGGGTCTTGTAAGTATTGCCATTATTTATTATTATCATAAATTATAATATAGGTAACTGCCTCATTGGCCGATTCACGGGTCGGGCAAAGTATTACAAGGTTTTAAAAAAAAATTTCAGTAGTAGCATGAAGTCTGGAATTGTGCCCGGTATTTGGCAATAGGCTCACCCCCTATTACATGGGACTCATAACATAAATAGTGAAAAGTGAGTGTTGCATTGTACAGTGGCACAATGTACATCTTTGACTACCCCTTCGGGGATAAAAGGCGTGATGTTATGTTATGTTGTGCATGGGTGTCAATTTTCAACTTTCCTTGTTTAATTTTATTGATAGATGAAATGAATGAAATGAATAAAAAAAATCACGGCCTCACAGAAAACCGACGTCAAGCAACGCTTGCGTTGTGTTTCGTCGTGTGAGTGAGGTTACCGGAGGCCCAATTACCCTCCCCTTCCCCAATCTCCCCAATTCCTGAATCCCCAACGATCCTCAAACTCCTAATTCTCAAAAGGCCGGTAACGCACTTGTAACGCCTCTGGTGTTCCAGGTGTCCATGGGCGACGCCGATTGCTTACCATCAGGTGATCCGTCTGCTCGTTTACCGGCTTATGCCATAAAAAAAGGTTTATTGGGCATAAGACATGCATTCCAGAAAAAAAACTAACCACGATAGCTAACACGGCATCAAAAGCGCTGATATGTCTTACATAATTCTGACGAACCTTCCATTTTTTTTTCATAAGAAGCACACTAGTGCCTTTTGGTATAATATTATTGAAGCAACGTTGTATAAAACGATTGTTGCATAAGTCAGACAAATGTATAACCGCGAGTTTAAAATATGTTTTATTTTACAGTTCTTCTCGACGAGTATCTGAAATGGGTGCCAGAATCCGCTCACAACGAAGTCAGCTTATATTGGCCGCCATTAAAATAACATATTCCTGTTACTATGTAAATATTGTAAATAAAGTATTATTGGAAATTAATTGAATGGTTTTTTATAATAATTAAGTTATATGCTTTATTCTAGACGTTAATATTCTTTTATTTTTCAAGACGTCGCAATTATGATATGTAATAACTATGACACGTCATAACTATGATACGTCACACCTATGACACGTCACAACTATGACACATCACAACTATGTCACGTCACATTCGACACTAGCAGTATAGTCGACAACTTCGTTTTGTAGACTCGGTTGCCAAAGAAGAAGAAAAAAAAGAATATGTCACGTCACAATTATGACACGCTACGACTATGACACGCCACAACTATGACACGCCACAACTATGACACGCCACAACTATGACACGTCACAACTATGACACATCACAATTATGACACTTTTGCTTCGAGGGAACAATAAATAAAACAAAGTCGTTTAAAACAGAGGTATTATTATTAAATCAATAACAAGCAACAATTACACTGGTCTACAAAAATAAGTATTTTCAAAGTAACAGCTGAAACAATGCATTTTTTTTTATAGAACTATGCATGGTGAGTACCAACTTTGAAGAAAGTGTATGTTTATCACGTCTAGATTTTATGTTATCTGTTAACAAAGGTAACCAATTTGATTATTATAACGTATTTTATTGCTTTACATAAAATTTACAATTCCATTTACTATACATTTAACAAATTAATTTAAAAGTTACAAGTTTAATCTTTTCTTTACACTTTGAGTTAATACTTTAACATGCACCATAGCTGAGATATATGGCTGGTGCGGTGGCTGGGCAACCGGCTGGTGTGCAACGTGTCGCGGGTTCAATTCCCACACGGAACAACGTTCGTGTGATCCACAAATTGTTGTTTCGGGTCTTGGTGTCATTGTGTATGTGAACTTGTATGTTTGTAAACGCACACACAGGAGAAAATCCTAATGTGGGGCAAAAAAAATTCGTGTAACCGATATTAACAATGTTCTATGCACAATTCTGTCTAAATTTCAAATTTCTATAACTCAGTGATGATATAATCTAGAGAAACAATTCCATATGATATGGAAAGAATAAGATTTGTACAATATATTGTACTTATATTTTTTTTTAAAATACAAACGTATATTTCTACAAAGTCACGGAATAAGCAAACAATTATAAAATTTCAAGAATTTTACAGTAGATTACACAAAACCTAGATGTGATAGACATGTACTTTCTTTGAAAAATTTGGTTATCTTGCTTAGTTCTATTCAAAAAGATGGTAGTTTTAATTGTTACAAAATACTTGTCGACCAGTGTTATTTTAATATTAATTGATTCATTCAGGGTTTTGCAACCATTTTTATTTTAGACTAGCTTTGCTCTCAGTAAATAAAGTTATCATTTTTTATAATTTTAACCCGTCACCGAATCTTATGTCAATAAAGTTCAAATTGCATCAAATTTATATAATAACTATCGTTAGACAAACTAAATCAACTAAAAATCGCGAGTTACTCACTTGAATATAGGTACTGAGCAAAAGCTCTACTAGTTTAGAACCACAGAAGGGTTTTTCCTCATAAGCCGCGACTGCTCATATTATTTTTAAATAAGTAACCCGCGATTTTTAGTTAAAATAAATTTAATACAGTTTAGGATAACATACAATACGATAGGTTCTTACCTACAACATATATGACATATAAGATATCATTCTTTTAAAAAAGGTGTCCTACACTAGGATTTTCTCCTGTGTCGTGGGTGCGTTGACAAACATACAAGTTCACATACACAAGACACCTAGACCCGGAAAAACAATCTGTGGATCACACAAAGAGTTGCACGTTACGCAGCAGAAGGCTACCCACCCACCGCACCAACTGTATTTTTATGTATGTGGTATATAGGACACTTTATGTAAGTAGTTACTTCAAAGCGTTATAAAAAAGAATAATAATAAAATCTTACTCATAATTCAAAAATTCAAGATACAAAAACATATCCTAAGTATGTAGGTACAATTGATCTCACAGAGTTAAATGCCTTGATTAGGAGAATCCTGTATCGCAGGTGGAGGCAGGGGTGAATTATAATAAAATAACAATTAATTTTATACGGCAATAGGCTCACCCTCTATTACACTTATTACAGGGACTTATAGTGAACAGTGGGTGTAACATTGTACAGTGGCATTAATGTCGGAATACTGAAACGTTACTCAATTTTAAGTCATGCTTAAGTATAGTTCTGTCACCACTAATTCTTTGTAAAATGACAGAGATGGCACGATATTTGAGCACGACTTAAAATTGAGTAACGTTTCAGTATTCCGGCATAAGTGGTGTAATTTGCACCTATGCCTATCCATTGGGGGTAAAGGCGTGATGATGATCATGAATAATTTTATCAAACAAAATGTTTACAACTGATATATATACCATATGTTATGACATATATCGACTGCTTCGAGGAAAGCTGCAGTTTTTGGTCACGAGATGACACTTGTAACGAGAGGCCCTGTTTTACTCGATGGGGACTTTAGACTAGTTTCTATTGGACCTTCAATTTTTGACAGCAACTAATACACCTCAGACTGTATTTTTTTTTAAGTTTGGATTAACATCGAATGACTTTGCCTAGATGAGACGGTAGGGAGTGTCAGACTCTTATTGACTAAAAACCACCCCGTTCCTACTCCTGCCCTCCAAGCCGGAGGCCCCGGCAACCCGTTAAGTCCTCCAGCTCCATATCGGCATCAGCCCTATTGGGCCCCATCCGTAGACCTCAAGCTGTATCAGGGGTATTTGTTGAGCAAAAATCGGTGATAAAACTTATACTAACGACTTTTAAGATAATTATCTAACTTATGTAATAATTATGCCCTAGGTAATTCCAGGGCTAATTGTCTTAATAATCTTCTGTGAACTTTTGTGGTGGACGTCATAGGCATATAATCCATGAAGATGACACCTCCAAGTAATCTCTTCGGTTCTTGCAACGTATCTGTGTAAAAAAGTAAAAATATAAGATACTTATATTTAAGTCCCTACGGTTGCCAAACGGCAGAGAAATGTACCACAACTAACGCTATCTTGTGGGAATTTATATACTTTACTTAGTTCCGGTGTGGTTCCGGTATAATTATTTAATTATTAATAAGTTTTTGTTAATTAAAAATTGATTAGGTATAAATTATTAATTTGAATCAACTATACTATTTATTGTCATATAAATGTCTATTATCTAAATAACTAACTACTTTATGGTTGTTAAATTGACCAATTGATTGCTTCCGTTTGTGTGCTCGTTGTGCGCTGTGATTTTGGAGGGACATTATTAAATCAGATTTCGAGGAGTGAATCCATATTTTATTTGCTGCGCCTACATTTTAAGACCTCATCATTGAAGAAGGAATAAAGAGTAGTAACATATCATACCTTTAACTAAGTTCTTAATCTCTTCAGCACTAGGTTTGGCTCCGGGTTTTGGCACGACGCAAGCAACTGGCAAATCCCCCCATTCGCTGTGTGGTATACTCGTCACTGCTACGTCCAATACTCCTGGATGTTTGCGGATTACTTCTTCTATTTCTGTCGGCGACATCTGTGTCAAAATAGAATATTTGGTTTAAAATCAAGATTCGAACTTTTGGGGGTCGAGTAGAAAATAATGCCTCTTTGTCAGTCGTGGCTTAGATGAAGTTGTTTGCACATGTAATAGGGATATGAGCCTATTGGCACACCTATTGCCATACCTGGCACAATTCCAGACTCCGTGCTACTACTGAGATTTTTTTTTAAAACCCAGTAATACTTTGTCCGGGCTGGGAATCGTACCCAAGACCCCTTGCCCGGCAATTACACTTGCAACAACTCGACCAATGAGGCAATCTATATTTTATAGACTGCCTCGTTGCCCGAGTTTCTGTAGTTTCTATTCAAAGAAATCGTTCCTATTAAAATACTGCGCGGATAAATGCTTACCCTGTAATAATGGCACTTGATCTGCAGTTTAATTTTGTCCACAAAATAGTAGTTCCAATTCTCGTCGAAGTAGAATATGTCTCCGGTTTTCAACCATCCATCGCTGGTTAGGAGTTCTTTAGTGCCTTCAGCGTCCTTATAACAACCCTGGAGCAATGAAAACCTAATTAATATGAACACGAAAATGAGAAGGAACAAAAATTAGATAAGTGATGAACGGTAATATAAAAAAATAAGTCTGCGATATTTCTGAGCGCTTACCCTTGAAACAAATTTCAATGTCAATCCTATAAATTCTTAATAATTAGGTACTCAAACTACTCAATGTCAACGCTATTCAGCCCCAATTGGGTAGTTTCCAGGATACCAAAATTAATAATCTAATTAGTCCGTCAGTTAGATAATGAAAAATTATTACACACGTATTTTATTATTTTCTCGTTTTAAGTTGCCATACTTAGATAAAATGGCGCTAAGTTTAGTGTGGGGGGTCGATACGTCATAACGTGCTACAAAATGTGGCACGCTCTGGCGTCACACGACATTTCAAATTAATATATAGTCGAAAGTATTTAATTGTATGAGAAAAGAAAAAATATGTGTCTAAAGTTTTAAAATAGTGTACCAGGCGGACATTAAAATCGGCGAGGGAGACTGGGATGCCATCTCCTCCTTCTGCGAAGCAGTCATGCTAGCTACGGAGGAGGCGAAGCGCGTGAGGGAACGAACCTCCTCAGGACCCGGCCGTCGCGAGGGACACTCCGGGCGTCAGGGATCGCGAGACGATCTCCGGCTACCGTAAGCACGGGCTTGCGGACGGTGAGCACGGGTAACTCGCCGCCCGACCAGAACCAGGCCCGAGCGTAGGTACGGCCCGTCGCGTTCCGCGCGCGCCTCAAGGAGCCATCAGACCACCACAGATGGGGCCTAACAGGGCTGATGCCGATACGGAGCCGCGGAAGACTTAACGGGTTGCCGGGGCTCCGGCTCGAAGTGCAGGAGTAGGAACGGGGTGGTTTTTAATCAGTAAGAGTCTCAAACTCCCTCCCGCCTCACCCGGGCGGGAGAAGTCATTGAATGATTTTCCCCCCTCAAAAAAAAGGCGGACATTAAAATATTAGGAAACCACCCTATTAAGTAAAATCGCGGGTTACCTCCTCACGTGAATATACTGGGAAAAGCTCTACTAGTTTCGAACCACAGAGGGGATTTTCCTCATGAGCAGCGTGCGCGGTCGCGGCGCGACGCGCCCTCTGTTAGACACTACGAGCGTTTGCTTCCGACTCCGCCGCGATTTTATTTAATTTAGTATGTCTCACGATAGTTATTATAAAAACTACCCAATTGTAGCTGTTCAAGTACTATTCAGAGTACTGAATATAAAGCCAAACAAAAGGTAACGCAATTTTTAAAGAGTTTGGGAGTATCGATGGGCGATGCTGGTTGCTTACCATCAGTTGATCCGTCTGAACCTACACATGCCGCTCTGTCCAATAAGAAAAATCAGCATAGAGGAAAAACACACAAGTTGAAGTAAACTGAGAAAAGCTCAAAGGTATCAGATATCAAAACATGACCGCGTTGAGCGCTAAGATTGGTTCGTTCATTGTTGCCGCTCAATCAAAGAGTCGACCAGGCTTAAAGAAACAGGTTCTTACTAGGAATGGAGCAGGGCCTTTGATCAATATCTCTCCTGGAACATTCGGTTCGTGAATTTCTTGTTGTGTATCCACATCCAGTAACTGTAAAAAGAAATATTTACATAACATCACGCCTTTTATCCTGAAGGGGTAGGCGGAGGTGCACACTGCGCCATCTATACCAATACTTTTGTTTTTCGTCGTGAATATCAATTTTTCCGGGTTAAAAAGTACCCTATTATTTAATCCGGACTTCTAACTTTACGTCTGCAAAAATTCAAAGCAATCGGTTAAGTAGTTACGGCGTGAAGGTGGAACAAACAGACAAACTCACTTTCAGATTTATAATATTATAAATATAAATAAATAAATATAATATAGTAAGGAGTAAGGATACAAGTCAAGACAAGTCTTACGCTCACATCAAACAATAGTTATATTATGTGCATCAAATTATATAATAAAGTTCCTAGTGAAATAAAGGCCCTACCATTTTCAAAATTTAAAAGTTGTCTAAAAAAAGTTCTCCTTGATCGTTGTTTTTATAGCGTACACGAGTTTCTAGATTATAGGTTATAAAGGAGCCAAACACAATGTGAGGGTCTAAGGAATTGTTTTTATTGTTATTTTGTGGATTAACGGCTGGATATTATTATTATTGTAATTTTTTTGTTAGTTTTATTTTAATGTTTGAAAATAATGAACCTCCTTTTTTATATACTAATTTTTATTTTGACGTATACCTTTAATGACATTGTTTTATCACTTAATATGACATATCTTGTTTTATAGTTTTAATGATTATGACTTCCATGTAAAAGTTTTGCACGCCCGAATTGTGGGCAGAATAAGAGGGACTATAATCATAATGACCACTGTATACCTTGTTCGGGCAAATAAATGAATTTTTTGATACTAGCTTTTACCAGCGGCTTCGCTCGCGTCACAAAAGGATAAAAAGCGCCATCTATACCAATACTTTTGATTTCCCTCGGGAACATCAATTTTTTCCCGGATAAAAAGTACCCTATTATATCAATCATTCAAAGCAATCGGTTTAGTAGTTACGGCGTGAAAGCGGAACAAACAAACTCACTTTTCGATTTATAATATTAGTAAGGATTAGTAGGAAAGATTTATCTTGCTGTATTTAGAAGAAAAAAGTAAGAAAGGAAATACATTAATTGGTTTGGTATTATTGCTAAGACATAAAAAAAGATATAATGATTTTTGCCCCTACTAAGAACTATCGTTAGCAGGCTTAGTTTGTAGGACTCTCACCCGATATTGGAAGCAACTCATTGGCTTTCCACATGATCCAGGCGCAGGGTTGTCACCGAAGAATCCAAGGCCAGCCAGTTCACTCATTCCAAACAAATTTATTACTTCTGTTTTCGGCGTTAGAGTCTGAAATCAATTCGTTTGTTAGCAAGCAAGTATAGGTTAAAAAAAGTTTGTAGTGTTAGACGACAAAAATCGACTAAATGAACGTCACTAGTTTAACTCGTCAAGTACCGTCATTATAGGTGACACAATTATAGAACAATAGGTTGCGGTCACCGGTGACCGCTTGGTGTTTGACAGTTTAATCTGTGTTATCGACTGCACTAGCTGTCATGTTGACGCTGTCATCTGTCAAATCTGACAGATTAGTAGAATTTCCCACGTAAAGAGTCGTAACGTCCATTCAAGTTGAAAGTTTGACGGGCATTGCGTTGTTTTTCTCTTATGAATCCGTTATATAATAATCTTTCAATGTTTGAGTACCTAAGTATTGATTTTTACTTAAAAATAGGTAGCAATGAAATCTTCAATTCAACGTAGGTAACAAGTACTTATAATTTACTACTACTTCATAAGAATAAATAACTATACTTGTATTTATCTTTCATAATCATTATTTCCTTTTAACCAATCAAAATAAAAAAAGAATCGGTACAATCGACTAATTCAAATTATAACCCACCGTTTTATATCACAACGTATTTTCTTAGACAATAAAATAGATTATATTGGTAATTGCAATAAGTTAAAGTTAGTCATGCATGATACAGTTTGGTCGACTGTACAGGATAATAATTTAAGACTGCGATTCCCGCATGGAGCAACTCTTTGTGTGATCCACAAATTGTTGTTTCGGGCCTTGGTGTCATGTATTTTTGAAATTGTATGTATGTCGACGCATCTACGAAACTGGAGAAACAGCAACGTTTAACCTCTTATCTGAGTATATGAGACAGAATAGAAAACACTTTGTGTCTCGCGTATATCTACGTCCACGGCATACCAGGGGTTAAAAAAAATAGATAGATATTAAATTTTATATACCTTGACTTCTTTAATGAGGTTCTGAGGTACGGGGAGGCCACATAACATGATTTCTTCATAGCAGGTCAAGTCAACTTTATTTAGTTTTAGCAGTGACGACATCAAAGTCGGCGAGAATATCGAATATGTTGGCTAGAAAAAAAGTTAATAACAATTATTTTAATATTTCATCGATGAAATAAAGGATGTGCATTCTCGTTCATTGATTGTTTTTTTTTTATGGAGAAAGTAATCTAATGACTCCCCCGCCTCGGATTACTCGGAGTGTCAGACTGTTGCTGACTGAAAAACCAACTCGGTTTTAAAGCTATTTCAAGCCAGAGCCTCGGTAACCCACTAGATTATCCACATCCACAGCTCCACATTGATGGAGGGTGCTATAATAAACTTACCCTGTATTTATTAATGAGATGCATCATCATTTCAGGGGAAAGCTTTTGTGAGCTCTGCACTCGTGTGTATCGTAATACAGCAGATCTGATAAAACTTGTTATTGCAGTCGACCATTGGAGGGGAGATCCAATCAACACCAACTTTGTTGGTGTCGGGAATTTCCTGTATTTGGACCTGTAGTGCGAACAAGACAAGGTTACACATGAGATGCAACGGATAAAAAATAGATTTTATAAACATTACATATTTACATCATGCCTCGTTGGCCGAGTGGTCGCAAGTGCGACTGCCGGGCAAGGGGTCTTGGGTTCGATTTCCGGGTCGCGCAAAGTACTACTGGGTTTTTATACATGTTCAGTAGTAGCACGGAGCCTGGAATTGTGTCCGGTATATGGCAATAGGCTCACTACCTATTACATGGGACTCATAACATAAATAGTGAAAAGTGGGTGTTACATTGTACATACAGTGGCATAATGTACACCTCTGCTTACTCCTTCGGGGATAAAAGGCGTGATGTTATGTTATGTTACATCATAATTGCGTTGATTTAAAAACGGCGGTGTAAACGGTACCCAACAAAAAAAAAAAACAATCTGCCGAGCATAGTACTTCCACCTTTGTTTGAAGTCGGTAAAAATATCTCCGTTTTTGGTTGGCTCAAAAAATACTTTCGTATTCGCAGAGTGAGTTGGTACCTATATCTATATCAATTTATTACTCTGAGTATTTTCGAAAATTTAAAGGATTTGAGTATCATCGAGAAATTCAATGATACCTACTTCACCTGAACCCAATTCATTTAAAGTCCAATTTCATCTCCAATTCCGATTTAAGGCCTCTTTCGATGGAGTCCTATGAACTAATGAAGCAGTCAATAAATTGTATGTACTCAGACTTACCAAATGTGTGGTAGAAGTATAGTGAAATATTTATGTGAGTGAATTATACTTTTGGGTTGACCCGTGGTTCCGCTTGTGTTAATGATAAACGCCGCTGACTTTTCTGGATCTAGCTCTGTACACCTAGAATATTATATTTTTATAATATAGTTATTGAGACGATAGTTCGATAGTTCGTGAGACATACTAAATTAACTAAAATTGCGGGTTACTCACGTGAATATACTGAAAAAAGTTCTACTAGTTTCGAACCACAGAGGGGTTCTTCCTCATGAGAAACGTGCTCGGTCGCGGCGACGGCGACGACAAGAACCCCTCTGTGATTCGAAACTAGTAGAACTTTTCTCAGTATATTCACGTAAGCAACCCGAGATTTTAGTTAACTAATGAATATAACTTACTTAAATTCCTCCACGGGCGTGTCATCTTTGTACATTTCCATAAAATCAATATAATAACAAAAATCTCCTTTATCAAAAGTAATGATGTGAGGGTTCAAATTCAAGTTGAGTGAAACCATTTGTGCTTTTGAAGCAACATCGCTCTGACAAAGGATTATTGAAGGTTTCGAAGTAGATAGAAGTGGCTGTAGGTCAACTGAAAACAATAAAATGTATACTTGTATTAGTGATACTGCCTAAAGGTAATCATTATTTTGTAGGCTAATTTTTACTTTAAAACTTGTTATACATACCGAAAATCTCACGTGAATATACTGAGAAAAGCTCTACTAGTTTCGAACCACAGAGGGGTTCTTCTTCATGAGCAGCGTGTGTGGTCGCGGCGACGTCGCGCTTTACTAGTAGAGCTTTTCTCAGTATATTCACGTGAGTAACCCGCGATTTTTAGTTAATTTAGTATGTCTCACGATAGATATGAATAAGAATTACCAGGTGGTGTACTTGGCTCGATACCACACACAATAATTCCAAGATACAGTCCAGCATATAAAGCGATAGATATATCCAAATGGTTAGGAGCCAAAATCACCATGACTTCTCCTGGTTTTATTCCCAATTTCCGCAGACTCATGGCGAAACGAACAGATCTTTCTAATACTGAGCCGGACGTTTCTGATTCCCCCGACGCTCCGTCAATCTGTAAAATATTATGTCACTTTATTAGTTAGACTGCGTCGTTGCCCGAGTGGTCGCAAGTGCGACTGCCGGGCAAGGGGTCTCGGGGTCGATTCCGGGTCGTGCAAAGTATTACTGGGTTTTTTTAAATCTCAGTAGTACTTCTGTCTGTACTGGAATTGGTGCTCGGTATATGGCAATAGGCTCACTCCCTATTACGTGGAACTCATAACATAAATAGTGGAAAGTGGATGTTACATAGTCCAGTGGCATTAAGCGCTGTAATGTGCACCCCTGCCCACCCCTTCGGGGATAAAAAGACGTGATGTAATGTTATTATACCTGCAATAAAAAGTCAGGATCATCCTTAAGGCTCTGTAGAATCAGTTGTCCCAAATGGTGTCGGTCGGAAGGGTTTCCAGTTTTTGCAACTATACGACTACTCAAATCAGACATGTACTGATGAACGGCATCATTGACTCTTCTTTCTGGCGCCATCTTGGATGTAGTAGAGGTTTCTGAACACTTTTAGCGACTGAAACAAAAGACAATGTCAATAAATAAATAATCTATACCTAATATTATAAAGCTGAAGAGTTTGTTTGTTTGTTTGAACGCGCTAATCTCTGAAACTACTGGTTCGAATTGAATAATTCTTTTTGTGTTGGATAGTCCAGTTACCGAGGAAGGCTATAGGCTACATAACATCACACTACGACCAATAGGAGCAAAGATATAGTGGTAAATGTGTAAAAAACGGGGGAAATTATTTCATCTTTGAAGCCTTCCGTTGCGTGCGCTGTGAAAACGGTTTCAGATACACAAAAAATATGTATCAAAGAATAAAAGCTCTTTTAATGATTAACTCCCAGGAGATATTGTATCCTACACATCCATTGACCCACAGGAGTTCCTCAATTCCTTGAACCCAAGCGGCCTTCCCCCACATTCTCTTAAGTTAAAAATAGGTGCCCCAATAATTTTACTAAGAAATCTCAAACCACCAAATTTATGCAACGGTACCCGACCCGACTTCAAATAAAATTTCTGCGCAATAACGTCATCGTTGCAATAGTTTTGACTGGTCCAGCAGTTGGTCAAACAGTCCTCATACCCCGCCTTCCAATGATACCCAACGACTTACCTTTCAATTTTAAAAGAATACGTAAGTGCGAAGTACACGCCGCCGTCTTGTAACTAGTTTTGTAACGAGGCTTAACACACACAAACTCAAACACGTAATTGATATTATTTCTAATTCCATAAAACTCCAATAAGAAACCTTGCTGTCGCTGATTCTAAAGTACTGTCGAACTTAAACGATTTATTATAGCCGTATTTTAACTATTGGCCCGAAACTTTTTCTTATATTGAACCTTTATGACTTCTGTGAGATGCCCCCGAGAAATGCCACGGTTTTAAAACTACACCTTGTATAAGTATTCATCTTTTTATCGACTACGGTATTAAAATAAATGAGATGCATTTATTCAATTAGAGATAGGAAGAAGAGAGTACAGGAATGTGGCAATGGGTTGATTTTGGTACATTCTAGGTACAATCGATAAATTGTAAAGATGACCCAGTATAAGCAATGCAACCTCATCTGTAGGAAAAAAATACTGTACGATTGGCGTGGTGGCGGGGCTACCGGTTACTACGCAAAATGTAGCGGATTCGATACCCGCACGGAGAAGCATATTGTGAGATCCACAAATAATTGTTTCAGGTCTAAATGTTATGTGTAATTGTATGTTTACAAACCGCACACCCACGACATAGGAGAACATCCTTATGTGGGGCAATGTTTTTCAAAAAAAAATATATATATTCGTCCAAATAATACTCTAAAATAACTTTACCTAGGAAACATGTTTATTTGCCTTACATAATAGAATAGACAAACACTTAATGAATAACAATATTTTTAAAACGATCCGAAATTAAATTAAACCGGTTTTAGGCTTCAAATAGGTAACCAATCTATAATAGTCAGTCCAAGGTCAACCGATAACATATAGTGGGAAAATGTCGGTAAGTATTTATATACAATAATATGAATAATATTGAATTAATATCTAGATATTAGTTTTTTTCTATTTGATGGGAAGCCGTTTGACTATTAGAGTTATTATTACCACTTTTTTTTAAACCTTGCACCACGCTAGGATTATCTCCTGTGTCGTGGGTGCGTTTACAAACATACAAGTTCACATACACATGACACCCAGACCCGAAACAACAATTTGTAGATCACACAGTGTTGTTTCGTGCGGGAATCGAACCCGCGACACGTTGCACGGCAGCCGGTTGCCCAGGCACCGCACCTACCGTGCAGTCAAAAATTAAAACTAGAGTGCGATTTAGATATACCTACTGAAGATTCCGTCCTTACATATTAGTGGTTTTAAATTTTATATGTTTTAGGAATGCGTTGCCGTGTTCTGACGGAAGGGTAGATGATATTTACCAGTTGCTACCACCTCTATAAATAGAACTCCAGATCGATTGCGATCATGGTGGCCAGTCTAACTATGCTAGCCCATTACGCAGAAGATTATAGTGCACAAGTGTGAGCGTCGGTAGAGGGCGCCCTAGACGGACATATAGTGACCAGATTGAAGATATATTAAAGGGTCAAATTAAAAGTACCTTTAACCGACCAGCATACATAAAAAGATTGATTACTGTTGATGAAGCGAAAGAGGTATGTAGGAATCGTAGTAATTGGCGTTCCCTAGTCTCTACCTACCCCCACGGGAGACAGGCGTGAAGTTATGTAAGAGTGTGCGCAAACACAAGAGCACTCTCTGTGCCCTCACTCTCTGAATCCGATGGGACGGCAGACCGTCACGATCGGAGAGAAACCAAGCGATGAACCAACGGCTTTACGGGCTTTTCGAGACACAGAAAGCCTATTTTAAAACGAGAAATATTTCTGCCGGTATTTATTAAAAAATGTTTATTAATGTATTGACATTAAATTAAATTTAAAATCACTTAAATCAAATCAGCATTTATTGATGTTTTTATATTCAGTTCGGGATTTTTTAACAAAAACAAAAAGTGTTACATCTCAGAAACTAGCCACTTTCGGACCAGGGACATCAGGCTAATTTTGTAGGAAATTAGTAGTGTATATTTATTTATTTGTACTAAATTATATTCTTTTTCTTTTCACTTTCCTAAAGAAAAGCGTATATTCAATTTTTTTGTCGTTTTACTATAGTCAAAAAACAAATTCATTTCAGGTTTTCTTTCACGATATAATTATGTCTCCTGATAGGTATACCATGTCGTATTAAAATAAAATTCTCATATAAAATACTACCTACTTCCGCGCGGTTTCACACACTCTGCTGAGCTCCTATTGGTCGTAGCGTGATATTTTATAGCCTATAGCCATCCTCGATAAATGCACTATCCAACACAAAAAATAATTATTCAAATCAGACTTGTAGTTACGGAGATTAGCGCGTTCAAACAAACAAACAGAAAAAAACAAACTCTTCCGCTTTATATAATAGTATAAGATATAATTAAAAAATATTTTAAGCCGATTCTTTTAGCTAAATTATAAATTATGATAGATTAAAATAATCAAATCAATATACTTACTGTTCGTAGTGTTAGTATTGATGAACAGCTTTTCACTATGAATGCACTGGTGTACCACATCAAAATATATATAAGATTAAAGCTCTTGATACACAGCCGTCCTATAGGGTAGGCTAGGCATCAATGAAAATAATAACAATTCGATAATAGTCTTAGCAGAATTATTGTGACAAAAGTATAAAAAGTAACTTGTTTTTTTAAATAATGGCAATGGACCGGTTTGTGTTTTTCTCGAATTTCTGCCTACATGTTTTTTTTATAGGGTAAATCGGTAAACGAGCAGACGGATCACCTGATAGTAAGCAATCGGCGCCAACCATAGACACCCGTAACACCAAAGGCCTTACAAGTGCGTTACCGGCATTTTGCGGATTGTTGGTGATTCAGGGATTGGGGAGATTGGGGAACGAGCATAATTGGGCCTCCGGTAACCTTAGTCACACGACGAAACACAACGCAAGCGTTGTTTCACGTTGGTTTTTTGAGGCCGTGGTATCACTCCGGTCGAACCGGCCATTCCTGCCGAAGCATGGCTCTCCCAAAGATGTTACGTCAAACTAAAAATATTAATAAAATTAACTAGTTCATTTTGTTTGTTATTATCGTTATAAAACTATTAAAACAAACAAAATCGTAGCAAATTAATAATATACTGAATTATATTTAGTTTTTATGCTTCGGAACGACAATATGTATGTGAAAAATGTCTTATCATTTTATGTGAATGAAATGATTTATGGAGAATACTAAAACGGAATTAACTAAGTACTACACTTTTTTCGAGTTTTAAGGTTAATTGTTTAATGTATAGGTACCAAAAAAATATTGCAATAATAATGCGTTGAAATGCTTTTAATCACTAAAACGATCCTCAAACTCCTAATTCCCAAAAGGCCGGTAACGCACTTGTAACGCCATATTGTAACGCCATAGGTGTTCCAGGTGTCCATGGGCGACGCCGATTGATTACCATCAGGTGATCCGACTACTCGTTTACCGGCTTATGCCATAAAAAAAGTAAAAAAATAAAAGAGTGTTCGAAAACGTTTTGTCTGCACTAAAACATTCTGAATGTCTATTTTTAGTACCTACCTCTACCTTGAGAAAGAACTGAACAGTGATAGACAAACAGACAATATTATAATAATATAATATTTTATATAGCTATATGTGTCTTTAAGCGAAAATATAAAATTCATAATGGACCTTTAATTGACCAAAATACTTGGAATATTTATAGAATTTTCTAGAAGGTTTTTGAATATGTATAAACATACGTCCAAGTACATATAAGATTTTAGTATGAGTCTGGTTCACCAAAACCAGAATTTGTTTTTACCGACTTCACCTTTATACATGAATAATGTTAATATATACAAGATAAAGTCTTAAGTACAATCGGCAAAGTTTTCGGTAGTACACCTTTTTAGACACAAAATCCTGTGGCAGTCTTGCTATCTACCATAGGGATGTGGTCGCTCGCGCCGATTGCCTGCGAATATCGTCTAATGATGGTCAACCGCTGACTTTGTCAATTGTACTTGTGCTTTACTTGAGGATTCATACTTTGTGGATTTATAGAAATAAAGAGCTGATGTTCAACAAAGAAATTAAGACCGGGACATGAAGTGAAGGAAAGGAAATTAACAGGTGAACAAGGAATCTAATGAAGAAGGTGGCGTTGTCCTTGGTGATCTTTTATTGGATAGGGAGGCATATGAGTAGACAGATAACCTGATGGTAAGCAAAGCCACCTGCTGTGGCCGTTCTCAACACTGGAGGAAGTAGTACTAGTGCGGTACTAGCCATTTAGAAATTGGGGATGTGGGAGAGGGGGGGGGGCATTAAGCCTAAGTCATTCTGTCTTCTGCATGAATTCATCGACGGAAAAGTGGAAACTATCGTATTTTTCCTTCTCTATATTACCGATTTTCTCCTGATTTATTTAGTTTCGGGAGCCAAGGCAGTTGTTTATGCCCCTAGGACGCACTGGTCGTCAGTGTCCCGGTGTTTTCATGGTTGTATCTACTGTAGATCCTGCCGAATCCTGTAAAGGAGTTGTTTGTTTCGGTATTTCTTCTCAGAGTAGTCAGTTAGGAAATCGGCCTCATCGTTCGCTTGATAAAATTGACGTGTAAAAGTGCTGCCTTGTAGCCTATTTGCAAAAATAAATTCACTTCACATGGATGTTGGGTGATTGTGGTGAGCTTGTCCCATAAAAAGGACGGCATTAGGCCTCCGGTAACCTCACTGATACGACGCAATCGTTGTTTCACGTCGGTTTTCTGTGAGACCGTGTTGTTAAAACCTTCTTTATTTATATTCTATAGTACAAACCACTTTGATATGAAATAATAATTAATAAACTGGTATAGTGTATAAAAAAGTAATAACATATTTTTTTTTAATAAAAATAGCCGTTTTGAAAATAAAAGTGACTATCGTTTACATAACATCAAATTCGTATCTACCTAATATTCTAGACAAGGTAAAATTAAAAATACCTTCAAATCAATAACGAGTTGGATTCGCGTAGGAAGGGTTCCATAGCACGCAAAAATATCCTGTATCACTGATCGAGTTTGTTAATTATCCTAATTATATATCGTTGGTTACTCACGTGAATATACTGAGAGAAGTTTCGAGTCATAGGGGGGCTGTTGTCGCGGAGAACCTAACGGGTAACCGGGGCTCCGGCTCGACGTGCAGGAGAAGGAACGGGGTGGTTTTTAGTCAGTAAGAGTCTGACACTCCCTCCCGCCTCACCCAGGCGGGAGCAGTCATTCGATGATTTTCCCCATTAAAAAAAAAAGGGTGGGCTGTTCCTCATGATCAGCGTGCGCGGTCGCGGCGATATCGCGCAGCCTATAGGTTTTAGTATTTCTCACGATAGTTATTATGTTAATTATCTTCTTATTGTTTGTGGTTATCGGGAAAGTTGAACCATTTATCAAACCATTAGTTTTCAATAATAGAAGCTGTTAATTGAAACCTATATCGTAGTAGAACACAGCCAAACAAGTAGACAGCGGTGATTTTTGTTCAATTGATAGGCGCATTACTACGTCTTCAGATGTTTATCTTTTGTCTACAGAGGGCTTAGTACGAGTTTCTTTTTAGTTTAAAGTAATCGAAACGAGATCTCGTCCGGCGCTCTGATTGGTTGGTTCATTGGAGCCGGCCAATCACAGCGCCGAACGCGTACTCGTTTCGGTTACTTTTAACGTAAAACAAACTCGTACTAAGGCCTCAGAACCCTAAAAAGACAAAAATACTGGTTTTCAAAGAGAGAGATAAGCTTATAGTTAGTAGATATTCTAGGCATTAATAGATGTTTGTCATAATACGCAGAATTAACAAGTATACTCCAATAACTTTGTTTACTTAAGAAGTATGATTTAAAGAAGTTGAAGATAAGATAATAAGAAGAACTACCTCGTTGGCCGAGTGGTCGCAAGTGCGACTGCCGGGCAAGGGGTCTCTGGTTCAATTCCCGGGTCGGGCAAAATTTTACTAGGGTTTTAAAAAAAATCTCAATATTAGCACGGAGTCTGGATTGTGCCCAGTATATGGCAATAGACTCACCCCCTATTACATGGGACTCATAACATAAATAGTGAAGAGTGGGTGTTACATTGTACAGTGGTATAATATCCACCTCTGCCTACCCCTTCGGGGATAAAAGGCGTGATGTTATGTTATGTTTTAAATAAGTAGTAAAAGTATGTCAAATGTGTCATAGTCACCTGCTAGAGCGACGGTGTTCTCTATTATAATTAGAGGGCTTATGGTAATGACCATGCTGGACCTGCCCAGCTTTTGCAGCAACTTTTGAAGTCATTTTATGTTCGGGAGAGCCATGCTTCGGCACGAATGGGCCGGCTCGACCGGAGTGATACCACGGCCTCACAGAAAACCGACGTGAAGCAACACTTGCGTTGTGTTTCGTCGTGTGAGTGAGGTTACCGGAGGCCCAATTATCCCCGTCCCCAATCTGTCCAATCCCCGAATCCCAAATAATCTTCAAATCTGAATGAGAAACTTTTGTGGTATAAGTAGGTACCAAGGTACTTTTTTGACTTTTCAAAATTCCAAGTCTCTGTACAATTTCATCCACATACGTTCAGAATCTTTTATGTGACGAACTTCCAGACATTCTAACATACTATCAATATAAGTTACCAGTATGTAAAAATGCATAAGTTTAAGACGTAGTAATAATATTTGACATTTCGAAAAAGTATTGTATTATTAAATGAAAGAGAAGATAGGAAAATTATTATGTATATTGATATGACGAATCTATACATATATCTAATAATACTGTAGAATTGTAAATTCTGTCTGTTGACAATATATAAAAAAAATAGTTGGGGGTGTTACTAGATAGATACTGAACCCAAAAACGTTTTGTCTGTTTGTCTATTTGTATGTTTACGCATCACGCAAAAAATTAACGGTCCGATTACGATGAAACTTAGTCTGATTATAGAGGTATACTATCCTGGGCGCACACAAAAAAAAACAAATTTAATTATGCGGCTCGATCCCTAGACACAGTTACTGTAACAAAAGTAAATATAAATTTGTCGGTCGCCGTAGTGAACTTAACGCTGTAACTGTAGGACCGATGGTTGAAATTAGCTTGAACAGTGGCTTAGCGTGCCCCGTATAAAAAATAGTTGAACGATAAACATAGATTTTTTTTACATAAAATTCTTATAATTTTTGTGAGAATCGGAAATCTTAAAAAAAATAAAAGTTATTAAACTTTTATTTTTTTTAAGTTTCTGCCAACCTTTGAACCCCAATTTTTTACGCGGGAAAAAATAGTTTATTTTGACGGCAGATACAGCGCTAGCTACGCCCCTGAGCTTGAACCGATATTATAAATGTGAAAATATATGTGTTTGTGTGTTTGTTCCTTACTCAGCCACATCGAAACGGCTGGAGGAACCAGAATGAAACTTGGAAAAGAGATAGATTACGGTCTGGAATAGTGTGTCCCAGCCTTTTCAGCCCACGGACCCTTTGGAAATCAAGACCAGGTTTCACGGACATCCTTACGAAAATAGCAAAAAAAAACGGA